GAGCAAGGACGCTACTAGGGGCTCCTGGCATCGCTACTAGGAGCAAGTTACTAGTTGGAACGCTGGACCTGCGTAATGAAATCAGCCTTCACGCTTGGGCATTACACGTTCCTACGCTATTTCGCGAGTCTAACACTTCGTGCTTCCATCCAGCACCTCTTCCAAAAGCATCCAAAAGCTTACCTACTGGCAGGAATCTATCGCCAAAATCAGCGGTTTTGGTTACCGAATGGTTACCGAATCCGCGCTTTTGGTTACCGAATCATAGTTACCGAATCAGACCGTTTGGTTACCGAATCAGACGTCGACCTATCGCCAAACACTGGAAAAAACCTGCCTTCATGTGACCTGGAATGGCATTGCCAACTATGGACAAAGCGAGCTTCAGAGGCCTCGAGATAACCCAGGCAAATGAGTCAAAGTCTTGAGTCTTGAGCAGGGAAGAACTTAGCTGACCAGAAGCCAGCTGCTATCAAGCCACGCATTCACTCCAAGGACATCCACTAATCTCCTCGCTGATTGAGAAAACCTTAGGTTGAGGATGGTTGAGGACTGTCCAGTCCACTTGGATTCCTTACAGTCTTGGTCTGAGAGCCAACCCCATCTCTGCACCGAAGTGAAGCAAATCAAGTTGAAGAAATGGCTCAAGCTTCGCCTATCGAAACCAAGAAGCTACCTATGCTGGCCGAGAGTAACAAGACCGTTGCCTGCCCCAGCAAAAGTTTACCACACCACCTAGGTGTCAAAGATGTGCTTTTGCGCTTGTTGCAGGAAGCAGGTGAAAGTGTCTTGGTGGACAAAGGTCCAAAATGGTCCAAATAAGATGAGTAAGTGGCAGACATTCTGGAGAGCTGGAGTGGGCGCAATGCGTTTGGGAACCTTGGCAGGTTGCCATCACGCTGGCAGTGCGCCACCAAAGGTAAAAGCCTGCTAGGAAAGGCTTTTAGGCCGTCACTTTCCAGGCTGAAGCATGCGAACCTGACTCCAAGTAAAAGATGATGTCGTCTTCGAAACAAGCCATCACAAAAAATGGGAAAGTCTAGCCAAGAGTACTTTCTCCGTGGCCTGTGAATCGAAACAGCTGCGAAGCACTGGCCAGCATTTTGAGGCCTTCGCTAAATAGAATCTTGAAGCATTGGCGGTGAGAAAAGCAAGCGAACGGAAAATGATCCAAAAGCCATGCTGCATCGGCAGACTCCACCCGCAGCAAGACTGGGATATCCTGGAAACAAAGCCAAGTCTGACGATGTCAATGCAACACATCCGTGCGTACCTTGCTGCAATCGATCCGAGCAAAAAAATTTGCAGAAGCTGTAAGCACCTCCAACTCTTCCTCAGACAGGCTCTTGGAATTCACGTTGAGCAGAGTCGACTGTACGAATATGGTCAAGCCTGCTGCGGAATTTGAGGAACTGTTGGAAGTGGTGCCAAACGCCTGAAGTCATGCGAGGAAGGATTTCATGGCAGGTGCTTTCCGATTTCCCTAGCAGCCACGAAACGACCAAGAATGCTGCCCTGTTTTCCGTGCTGCTTCTCTATGACGCTTTGGCAAAGCTGGAGGATCGATGCGAAAATCAATGACCTGCGTTCGCTGCCCGTTGTCAGCGTACAAGTTGGAAAACTCCACGTATATGGTGCCCTGGTATTCGATCTGGGACACGTGCGGCAATCTTGTAGTCCGTCTGCTTTGGGATGCCTCAAAAAAGCGCTTTGCTCCCTCCAGTTCAACTTGCTTTGGCTCCGAGTGTGTATGTACACATGTATCAGGTTCACTCTCGGCTCAATCGACCTTGTATGACGGAGATAGCGTGATGCGTGTTGCTAGGTTCACATGGCATCCACACCTTGGGGGGACGGAGCGGAAGGTTTGCACATGCTTGGATGCTCTCCTCTCTCCCTCTCTCTCACACACTTTCTACCTTGCTTTCTCGGGACGCAGCATGCTGTCTGGCATCCATCAAAGCCTGCACTGATGCCAAAGTGCAGGAGCGACGTGTTGATTATAGCTGCTTCAGCTTTAGCCACTACGAAGGGTTCGTAAAGAAAGCGCAGCTGCCGCCTCTAGCGCTTTCTTCTCCAACATGTTTGCCTTCAAAACAAAACGGTATTCCCAAGTCTGCTGTGATCCAATGTGCCCCAACAGGCTTGCGCAAATATGGGTGGCCTATCCAATGCCGGTAGACACGTCACGGCATTAGATTTGAATTTCTTGGCGCAATCCTGTTTGACGCCCGTCTTGGGGCCACGTCGAGATGCTATGATTCGACTGGAGAGTGTGCTTGAGTTTTGCGATCGCTTCTGGCCCAATCATGGCTCATCTGCACTCAATCCAAAACTGGGGCTGGAGCTTAGGATGGGGATACTTTTCGCTTGCAGGAGCAACATTAGACACAGGCAGGCTCTGCGCGCAACCCTTGCCTTAACCCTTGCTGCACATGCAATATTATATGGACTTACAAATATACGGGGCGCGTCGTGGGTTGGGTTGAAGTGGGTCACAGCCAAACAAGAAGTTACTGTAAAGAAATATATACATGGTGATACATGGTGTACTGTAATGCCTGTTTGGAGGCACCAGCTCACTTCGGGCACAATCCGGCAACGCACAGAGAGTACCAGCCGCCATGGCCTCGAGGACTTACACCACAGAGCCAGCCGCTGAGTTGCAAAGCGAGCTCAAGGATTGGCACACCACACCACTGCGATGTTAAAAGAACATGTTGCGCGTCCGTTCAAGTGTCAATGAAAGAATCATAATAAGTTGTTGCGGTTGCGATCACGATGCTGGAAATGCCTGGCATTGAAGCCAGCATTTCCAGCATTTCGGAAACACGAACCGATTACGCGAGCAAAAACCAAAAAAGACCGCAACAGTTTAACAGTTGAAGCAGTGTGCCAAATGGACCCGCTTCCAGCAGTGTGTCGCATACTATAGCATCATGAAAAAGCGGTGTGTCAAAAATGTGTCGAATGTTGGTGGCACTGGTGAACAAAATGATTGGTCGTGTGAACGAGGCTTGGGTGAACTGTAGGACTGCAGGAAACAATTTCCAAAAACAAACAGGAATTGGGGGCCTCTTGCTGTTTGTTTTTTATATTTTGAGTTTCAATTGCCTTGCCTTCCTTTTGCTTTGTTCTGGGCCCCGTTTGTATGCAAACACGTGCGCAAGCATAGCCTTTTGCTGAGTGGAGGGCCGCGAACAGGGTTTACAGGGTTTCACACACCGCGCCACTTTTGGGGCACAACTGATTGTTTTCAGGGTCCACTAGTGGGATTAGGGTGGGGTGGGTAGGGGGGGAAAATGATGACTTGCATGGTGATCGGCAATCAACACACTCTTGCATCAATAGAGGAAAGAGACGGCTTCCTGTTACAAGAGCACAGCGTGCAGTTTCGCCTTGAAATGTTGCATCACGACACAGGAACATGGGACGCACTGATTCAGAGCCATGTGTATGCACTTTCCACGTGATTTGCCGCACCGTGTGCCACAGAGTGGATGCAACCGTGGCACTAAAGCATCCCGCTCACCGGTGACACATCGCACTTACACACGCACGTTTCTCAGCGACATCGCAAATATAATTTCACCACACCGCCCGCCGCGGACTAGATGCCATCAACACCAAGCCTTGTTGACACCAATCATCCCCCTCCCCACCGACATGCCACGTTTACAAATGCATGTTCCCGTTCCCCAACGGCACCAAGGCACACAGCGCGGCGCAGACTAGATGCAACATCATGTCGCGCTTGCACACGCACGTTTCCTGCTCCCCAACGGCACGGACCCGTCGACATCGCCAGCCAAAACTTTGCACGCTTCCCACAACACACACTATCTGCATTTTCGAGGACAGTTGCGCATCTTGGCAACTTGGGTGGAGGAAGAAATCCAGGCGCCAACTGATACCCCACTTTCACCTGTTTATCCCGTTTGCCTCTGCCGCTTGCCACTCGGCTGCTGCTGGCCCCCTGTTGGGCGTAAGACAGATCGACCACATTCATCGGTAGCGTAGACCTACCTCCGGTTATTCCGCAGGGCCAGGGGGAGGAGGTTTGGAGGCCCTCTCGGCCGAAAACGGAGGCGCCACAAAACCTCGCAAATACCAATGCTTTCTGCTCTTGCATACAAACGCAGGCACAAAAACATTGAAAGCCACAGTCTTCCTAGCGTTTTTGGCAAAGCCTTTTTTTGGAAATGTATCGTTTTTAGATGCTCGTATGGGTACCTCCTTCCTGGAAGAGTGCGTGAGTTGGTCCCAAGGTGCAAGTTATGCAGCCCAAGTTGCCTCACATTCATGACATGTTTTGTTTCTGGTACTACAACAACCACCACCACAACAGCACCAGCAACAACCAAAACAGCAACAACCACAACAACCACAGCCACAGCAACACCAACCACAACAACTACAGTATTACAACCACCACCACAACACCCCCAACAAGCATAACAACAACCACCACTCTCACCTGTTTGCCTCTGCAGCCTGCCACTGAGCCCCCTGCCGGCCCGCTGTAGGGGCGTAAGCCCCTAGAATACTTATTTACTTATTTACTTATCCCGAGATTATGTACACTAGATGCACACCTGAATCTATGTGCATCCACACTTTTAGGTGCTTTCTGGGGGGAAAAAAACATACAGCATTACAATATATATATATTATGTGTTTGTAGCATGTACAAAAACTACAAGCATCTTGTCAAAAGCAAATCATAGAAGCTGGATCAGAGAATGAACACATATTGTAATTCTACATGTTCATGTTGTATAAATGAATGCATGGCGTAGAGGTATCCTGCAGCACTGGCTACTTGACCAGCACAAATTCGGTGTCATGCCTCGTGGCGAACAAGCTCTGCACCTGAAAGTGTCCACTGGCAAACAAACTAGGCTGCATAAAAACGGATATGGAGCCGAGAAGACGGACAACGTACTTGCTGAAAAAGCACCGGTTCCACTGCTAGGAGGCAGCTCAGACTCTCCGCTTCGTCTACTTCCCCCCCACTATGCAGTCTCTTAAAGGCTGTAAATCATAGTAAGAATGCTCCTAGTAGCGATGCCAGGAGCCCCTAGTAGCGTCCTTGCTCCTAGTAGTAAGGCCAGGAGCCCCTAGTAGCGTCCTTACTCACCAATATGATTGATTATAAACATGTGTCTTCCCCACCTGATACGAAGCCATGATGGCGATCAATATAAAGTGGCAACTCCTTGAGGCAGGTTGACATCTTGCTGCTGTTGCTCTGTCAAATAAAAAACCGACTATGACATGACCTTGCTCGCCCTGCAAATTCACGCACACCTGTCTCACTTGGCTCACCTGTCTGCGCTGTCGTACTGTCATAATTATCGAGTGCATGTGTGCGCTTGTGTCCCAACACTGGCATAAAGAGCTGCTGGGTCGTTGGTGTGCGTTTCTGCAGGTGTAATTATTCTGTTGAAAATGCACTGCCTGTAAATGAGATTCTGACAATGCGACTGACGTCAACAGCCTGCCCTGCATAAGAGCGTGCCTGCACTAGCTCCAAAACAGCGCTCGCCTACACTGTGAGAATTGTAGATTGCATTTGGACATGTGTGGGACATGCATCAAGGACGTGCTGGGACGTGTTTGCACACGTGTGCCCCCGTGTGTTGACATTGCTGCCAATATTTGGACTTGACTTGCCTGTCGTCTGTTTGGAGATGACGGGAACATGAGCTCCTGTTTGCACAACAATTGTGGCCTTCTACCGTCTTTTGTGCACAGGCTTGATTCAACTAATTGGTTTGTGGGTGTGTCCATTTTGAATGTCCCAAGATGCAGCCTGCAAGCCAACACATCTACAGTCAAGGTGAGTGCAAACATATATGGAATCTGATGGTGGCATAATCTTTTTAACATAGGGTATCGAATCTAAGGTATTGATATATAAAGACTCGTCAGCATCCTTTTCTAGTTCGCTCTGCAGCAGATTTGTCAAAATGATAGTAAACAATTAGGAAAGATACACGAAAAAAGAAAGACCAGGTTGGTTACCCCCCCCCCTTCTTTGGTCCACTACTCAAAGAAGGGGACGTACCCGGGTAACCCTGTCCCCCCCAACGCCTGGGCCAAACCCCAGACCCTGGCCAGGTCCTGGGGGGCTTAAAGTGCGGCCCTTTTTTCGCTCATCTCGAGCTTCTAGAAGGTCGTTTGAGGGATTTCCTTCCCTTCTTTCCTGGTCAACCCAAAAAAGGGTGGGAGTGGCGGGAGAGCCAAACACTACGGAGCCATCCAAGGTTGTGACTAGTCTTTATCCCCGGGGGCGGGGCACCAAAGACTCGTCAGCATCCTTTTCTAGTTCGCTCTGCAGCAGATTTGTCAAAATGATAGTAAACAATTAGGAAAGATACACGAAAAAAGAAGGACCAGGTTGGTTACCCCCCCCTTCTTTGGTCCACTACTCAAAAGAAGGGGACGTACCCGGGTAACCCTGTCCCCCCCAACCAGGCGGGCCAAACCCCAGACCCTGGCCAGGTCCTGGGGAGCTTAAAGTGCGACCCTTTTTTCGCTCATCTCGAGCTTCTAGAAGGTCCTTTGAGGGATTTCCTCCCCTTCTTTCCACGTCCCCCGAGCCGCCGAGTTACGGCGGGCGGCCTGCTGCTTTGCAGCGGCTCAAGTGTTTCAAAGGACTTGGGGGTGGAATTTCGAAAAAATTTTCGGTATGGTGCCAAAAACTGCTCAGAAGGACCTAGCTGCATCTCAGTCAGGACTGCTCTGGACTCATTTAGGTATAAACGGGCCGTTTTTTGGGCCTGCCACCGACCTAGAAGCATTACCCGATCTAGGTTCCCATGCTGGCAGAACCACCATGTGGCCCCTCCCCTGCGGAGGGAGTAGGGTCGGAGGTCTAAGGGTTCCAGGTGCAAAGCCTCGAGACATGTTTTAAACAGTTTGCGCCAGCGAGCTGCTGGCGGACAGAGACGTTGGTGGGTGTTTGCCAAAAAACTCCATTGCTGCAAGTATCGAAAAGCAGTGTCATGTCCGACGGTGACGCTCTCTTGGACACCGGGGCTTTGGCCACGCCGAGACTGACAACGGCTACTCGCAAGCTGTTCGAAATGTCAATCCGCCGTTTATAGTAACCTCTAGTAACTCTCCAGTGCGTAAAATGCCGTAAAAACAAAGAAGAAGGCTGGTTGCAAAAGAGAAATGCTGGTGGTACAAACCCCAGCCCACCATGGCATGGAGGATGCTCTCAGGCATGGGTGGTGCCCGATTGGGCAATTCATGGGTGACCCATGTTTTCACAAGGCGCCAGGCACCAGGGAGTTGCCCCCGTATTTTAGCGTCGAAATCCTGTAACGACGCCAGGGTATCGGCGGCCAGACCACGCCCCTCCCCGGTGCGCCAGAGGTGTTCTATGTATTCCATGACCAATGGATCTAACAAACTGCGACGACTGGGCAATTCCAGCCCTTCCTCTTTGAGGAAGGCGAGGAAACGATTCAAAGCACGATCATATCGAATGCGTGTGGCGGGTTGGACTGTGAGTCCCCGCAGACTTCCTAGCCTTTGCCTTTCTTTCGCTCTACTGGCTTGAGTGGTTCCTTCAAGTACGGGCTTTGGCATGCTTAAATTTGGTCCTCACTGACCACCGCGACGGTTTATCCGCCGGGTTTAGGTCAGTATGCACATAACCCCAGAGGGCTCCGACATCGTGTGCCAATAGAAGCGAGTTGATTCGGCAAAGGGTTCTGCGTAACCGGCGGGAAGATGTCCGTCCACGGGTGAGGCTGTGGAGGCATACCAACGAGTCAGTGAGGTGCAGGATGCGGGTGTTATACTCGCCCAAGTGTTCGCATCTCCATCGAAGACATGCCAAGATAGCTCTCAATTCCAAGGAGTTGATGTGTTCTCCTTGGCTGCGCCATTTCCACCCTGAAACAACCTTCCATCGCCACATCTTCGCATTGATGGTGCGCCGCAGCCGTTGATAACTCTGGATCTCGTCCTGCGCCGCTGTAATCATCAGATCTGATCCCTTGGTTGAGACCAGACGACCCAACTGTTGTACCAGGGTGGTCTGTTTGGAGAGGGGGACGCATCAGTCGAGACTGTATAAAGGGGTTCCCCTCCAAGGTGAGTCGAGACAAAACCTCCGCCGGCGATAACGAGGGTCCAGCCCCGCGAGGTCCCACCAGTTGGCCAAGGAGCCATGCAACTACAGGCACCGCCCAAGCGTTGCCAACTAGGGTGGGCCGCTTGTCCTGGTAGTCGACGTGTTTCCTCATTCATGGACTTAGGCATGCACATCTGTGCCACAGGCAGCCCCATCATGTATTCCCTTTCTCGAATATTGGGCAACCTGTATTCGCCACGTTTGCTGACTAAACAGTTGCGTGCGATGTATTGGTATGGCGGGAACCGGTGTAGGTCCTCCTCCCACCGAGTAACAGTGCTCCTGTCGCAAGAGTCCAATCCAGCAGGGCGATGCCCCCGAGTTGCCGTCGACTGATGTCGTCCAGGGCTGATGCCCCGAAAGAGTCACGCGTCTGCCTACGATGTCCACATCTTCTCCCTCCAGGTTGAGCTCCCAGCTGATCCAATAGAGTCGCGGCCTACTACACCAGCAGAGGGTTCCGGCATCAATCTCCCAGGGGCGATCCCCGAATGATTCCGACATGATGTTCTTGTCCCGATCATCCATCGAGGCGACACTCTCCATCAAGCAATGCACTTGCCCCCATGGAAAAAACTGTTGAACCATGAGGCGTAAACGCTTCACATGAATGAAGAGCGATGACCGCTCGTCTCGCAGGGCCCCCTTGCGCTGACTGTTGAGCCCCGAGACGCCCTGGCACGGTGGCCGCCGATGAGGATCAGGGAAGCCTGGCCATAGCGCAGGGCCCATTTCTGTACGTCTTCCTCCTTGATCTCCGCGACGTCCTCGTAATGCCAACTGTCTGGAAAGTGGTGCTCAACCACTCTCCGCCCAGCGATGTCCTTCTCGACGCAGATGTGTCCAATCACGTCACAACCCAAAAGGTCTAAAGCGACACGGAGGCACCCTATTCCGTCGAAAAGTCCAATACTCAAGATCCGCTGTCCTCCACAGGTCACCATGTCTCGACGTTCTTCTCCCAGGGCTACCTTCTCCCCGTAAGTTGTGAGGCTTGTGGCCACGCAGACACCTCCACCATGTTGTGAGGCATCACTGCACGTGACCTTTGGGTTCAAGCTCAAACGGAAATCCATACGGCATAGAGGAACAAGGCAGAGGAATCGGATGATCTCCAATTTGACTCCACTTGGAATGAGTTCCCGGCGGCGTCCACAGGTATTGAAGGATTCAATGAAAGCCCAACAGAGGTTCAGCCCTCCGAGGAGTTGTCGACGGAACGTGGTAAAAATAGACCAGGCCTCCGCACACAACCTGCATCTGACGTTGCGAGCAATGCGATTCATTCACCAACTGGTAAGCGATTGTGATGTATTTCGACAACTTCTGCCCTTTGGATAGGCAATGCCCCGTTCACCGTCCAACACCGCACCTTGCACCTCGGCAAGCGCCTTCCTGCTCACTGCCTTGCCGGGATGGCGCGGCAGTCCCCACTCCTGGTACTCCTGCCTCAGGGCTTTCACCTCCGGAGCGACCTCTTCGCCCAGTTCACCCAGCACCTCACGGGGATACTTCTCAAGCAAATCGTACTTGTCCAAGTACACGCGCCACACTGCTTTGCCTTCGGGCAGGATTCTATCCTTCCGGATTTCGTGCAACTGGCTGCTCCGTGCGTGGTTGTGAGCCTGTGACCGCAATGCAAGGACCCTGTGGACATGTTGCGCGATGCCCACACTGTTCACGAATCCCATGGGCAAAACCTTCGAGCAGGGATAACAGGTTTGTCCCCGAAGTTCGGGTGGCACCAACTCAGGCGGCAAGGCCTTGTTGAAACACAAGTACGGGTACCAGCAGCTAGGCAGACGCAGGGTGTAAAAGAAACACCGTAAATCCTCACTCGATACCACCATCGATTCATGAGGCTCAATGTGGAAAGGCGTCATCCCGAACCAATGTGGCAGGGTTGCGATGTCCCCGCGCAGCCCTTGACATAAGCCATTGAGCGGCACGAGATTCATGATGAGTCTGTAAACAGGGATGCCTTCTACCTCCTCGTGTTTCTCTACCCCGAAAAGTCCGTTTAGCAATAACCTGCCATGCACCCGAAAGACCTCCGATTCAGGGAT